CATAAAAAAATCCATTTATTCTTTTATTTCAAAAAAATCGCCACATTCAATCTTTTAAAAAAAATTGTATGACGAAAATATCGGAAAAAAACCATAWATACCTYCGAYCTTAAAAAAARTGGGAGAAGGAAGCAGTTGAAAAAAACGCAATAATAACTATTGACGAAAAAAAAAGAACGCCAACGATCCAATAAAAAAATAATAGAACRTTAAATCTATAAAAAAAGCTATGAAATTTAACCGCGTAAAAAAACGTGTGCGATCAAAACGGTCAAAAAAATTATATCAACGTAAATTTGAAAAAAAACCCTGGTGGCCCACACGGCTAAAAAAAAGGAAGTCTTAGCCCTTTTGAAAAAAAATTTGTTAATGTTCGTTTATAAAAAAAACTATTTATATATGTTATAAAAAAAAACTTAGATTTGAGGAAGTAAAAAAAAAAAGACCACGACGACGACGAGAAAAAAAAATGATTATAAGAAATGAAAAAAAAAAAATTGACTATAAAAGTAATACAAAAAAATTTATTTTATAATAACTTTTAAAAAAAAACTTTTTTCAATTTAACAAAAAAAAAACATTTCAATGTGTTATTCAAAAAAAACTAATTACGCGCAAACTCCCAAAAAAAATATCAATAGATTTGAATTGAAAAAAAATAGCTAAATGGAAGCTAGGAAAAAAAATTACCTTCAGTAGAAATCAAAAAAAATTGAACAGTATCTTGTTTAGAAAAAAACAACGAATTATGCATATTTGAAAAAAAAGTTCTCCTGTGAATTGATGAAAAAAATTTTAATTGGCAAGTTCTAGAAAAAAATTTTCTGTTTGTTAAGTGCTAAAAAAAATGTTTGTTAATTTATATTAAAAAAAAGGCGTGCTTAAGTTTATTAGAAAAAAAATAAACCATGTGGTTATAACAAAAAAAGATTTCACGTCTGTAATAACAAAAAAATTAAGCTACCCAACGCGCAGAAAAAAAACTGTGTTTCACCGTCCCACAAAAAAAATTGGCATGCAAACATCAACAAAAAAACATGATAGTCAGGTTCAAGCAAAAAAACTTAGTTTAGATCGTATTTGAAAAAAATTTATAATCTTTATTTGTGTAAAAAAAGCTTTATCAACACCTTGTTGAAAAAAAGTTATTACCGGCCATATTGTAAAAAAACATAGCCGTCCATATTGGATAAAAAAACATTAGTTTTTAATTCATGAAAAAAAATTGTTTAATCATCAAAAAAAAAAAAAAAAAAAGCAAAAAACAGTGATAAAAAAAGTATTAACTTCTCAAAGGATAAAAAAACCATATGATTTCAAATTCGAAAAAAAATTTTAAGCACAGTAAACTAAAAAAAAATATATATTTTCGTATCAATAAAAAAAAACAAGTCAGGTGTTTGCGACAAAAAAATCGAAATTTAGTCCTTATTGAAAAAAACGGGTATTATGATTTCACCTAAAAAAATTCTATTTTGTGTTAATGTAAAAAAAATTAGTGCTAATTTGTGGTTCAAAAAAACTAACAATGAAAGCAATCAAAAAAAAACTGATCTGATCAAGTGCACTAAAAAAACTAATTATCATGTGCGTAGGAAAAAAATAGAAGGTGATCAAAAAAATAAAAAAATACACTGGAAAAAATCGCGCAAAAAAAAGGTTGTAAATTTGATGTAAAAAAAAAGTAAGTGTCCAAAATTCTGTAAAAAAAATGGAAATCATTTACATCAAAAAAAAAACCTTTAAAGCGCGCGATTTAAAAAAAGTGATAAGACGATCGACTTGAAAAAAATGTTGTGAATAACCAAGAATAAAAAAATGATAAGATATGAATTATATAAAAAAACTTGATGAAGGCCAGAATATAAAAAAAATTTCCATGATGTATTGTTGAAAAAAATAACATAAATTAATAATTGCAAAAAAACATACTCTGTTGAGAACATAAAAAAAAAGCTGAAATCCTTTGCAATTAAAAAAAACACCAGTGTCTGTGCTACAAAAAAAACCCCTCTCTGTTTTCAATCCAAAAAAAACTGGTTTCGTCCCTTATTAAAAAAAAATCGACACGATGAGCAAGTAAAAAAAACGCAATAGGGGAGGGGGGGGAAAAAAATGCTACGTATATTTTTCAAAAAAAAAAAGGACTAGGCCCTTAATATAAAAAAAAAGGCTTAAAACAACTAGGTAAAAAAAACCATATGTCCACATAACGACAAAAAAACCCTGTGTTTATAAAGGACCAAAAAAATAGACTATGCTCGGGGCTAGAAAAAAAAAATTTCAGGGCTACTTTTGAAAAAAATGAGGGACTGATTAAATCTCAAAAAAAAGTTTTCTCAACTTTTTAAAAAAAAAAACACCCAAATTCAATAATATAAAAAAATGATATGTATTTTTGTCCTTAAAAAAAATGGTTACCAATCCACCATAAAAAAAAACTTAAGAGTGTATGATTTTAAAAAAACATTATGACATCACACATCGAAAAAAACTGGCGAGTGAGATCGTTCAAAAAAAATTTAGTATTTGTTGGTAAAGAAAAAAAGTAAAAAAATAGTTTGCATTAAAAAAATCGTGAAATATACTTTTCCTAAAAAAACTTTATTAGTCTCTACTTTGAAAAAAATTCTTTTCACACATTATTATAAAAAAAACATTACATTCTGTTTAAAAAAAAAAATAATAATCCCCCCAGATTTCAAAAAAAAAAATGACACTA